AAGAACGTCAGAGGAAAAGGATCCGGGACATACTTAGTGCTCCCACTGAAGATGAGGATTTCATGGGTTTTACTGGAAGTAATAGGTTTGGGAGTAGTGAGGATGAAGAAGAGCCATTAGATTGGACTCAAGTACAAGAAGTCAGGAATGTGTGCATGCAACCCACATCCAGTGATACGTTTGAGGGTTTTTCTGGGGATTGGCAGCCTGGAGATACCAGGGATTCATAGGGAGACTTAAGTCTTGACAGGAGGTGGAGGAGTTGGAGAGATGGGTGTTGGCGCTCAGCTGTAATGGGTAAGACAGCTGATAGAGATGAAGAAAGGGCGGAGGACAGCTCATCAACGGATGATGAGTTGTAGGATAAATGAAGGCACTGAAAGTTTGGAACTTTGCAGTAGGCAAAGTGTTGGTTACGTGCCTTGGGTTTTGCTGCTGTCGCTTCTCTTGTTGGGCTTGGGTCCTGGAACTGCAGGTTGCTGTATTCTTCGTGTGCTGACCGGCTTGGACTCTCGTAAGTGCGGAATTCCCCTCTCCTTGATCACGGACTGTTTACTGACGATGACGCTGCTTTTGGATGCTGTTATCTACAACTGGGACTTCTTCGACCATGGACTGATTTTGGACAACGGCTTCTCTTCACAGTGTTTTGTTTTGGCCTTATTTTTGAACTGTGTTATTTTGGTGCATTTTGCTTGAACTCTTGTTTTGCCAGTATAATCCGGTTTATTTGCTTGTTTTGGTTTTTAAGCTGCAAACTGCTCCAAACTTTGAGTTTTAGCCAGAGGCACTGAGGGAAGTGTCTCTGAGCTCTGTTTTCTTTGATTTAATAAACTGTTGATTGTTTACAATACTGTGTCTGGCTCTTTAAAGGCATCTGAGTTCCGACACTGTCTCCATAGCTTACCATGAATTCTGGGCACTACAGAAAGCTCTAGCTCAGGGGTCCCCAAACTAAGGCCTGCAGGCTGGATGTAGCCCTCCAAGGTTATTTATCTTCATCCAACCCTATACTTTATACTTAGAGTTCCCCTAAATCTGAAACAAAGGCACAACAACAACAACAACAATCTAATTAGCTTGACTATCTCATCAGCCAAAAGTAAGCCCATTCATTCAACTGAATACTGGTAACTTTATGTTAGTTAAAATTGTTCTTACTTTTAAACATTCATACCTTTTTGTTCTGCAAATAATTTATATAAGATATGTGTAGGGTGAATAGAAATTCATTTATGTTTTTTTTTAACTAGTTTGACTCCTCAACAGTTTGAGGGAGCCTGCCCTCAATTTAAAATATTTGAGGACCCCTGTTCTAAGCCAAATTGCCATTGATTTGCTGTGAAGTCACCAAGTGAGTTTCCTTATGCTGTCACTCACCTGATCATAAATCCTATGTCCTGATGAACCTTCATGCTCTCCCAGTATTGACATATATGGATGAAAAACTAACTGCACTCCTACGCATAATAGCAATAATTAAAGCAACAACTATAGGCTGTGCTAACTCAATGAAATTTCACCCATGGATTTTTATTTCTATCTTTCTTTTTGCCAGATCACGTATTCCTTAAAGGTAATTCCTAGCTCTTCGAGGTCTCGTGCCACAGCCTTGATGGAAGGACTCTTCGCACTCTGCACCTTGGGAACATTTCCATCCACCTGCTGCTGTGCTAACCAGATGAATGATGAGATTAGCACTTGCTGGGAAAAAGTATGAGATCCTTTATAGCCAGGCGGAAAGAGATCTAATGTGAGGGACAGAAGCCAAGGTGGACCAACAAGACTGCCAGTTCTGAGAGTCTGCCTGGACTCTCAGAACTGGAAGATAGAAAGGCTTGGATTAAAACAGATACACAGCTGGTTCCAGTTAATGAGGAGCAATCTGCCTGTGAAATGCTAATGTCTTCTAGAAGGGTCACTTATCTTTGAACACCTCCCTAATGCTCTAGGGGCACGTCTTATCTTTAGATGATTCCAGGTGGCTTTAAATGTATAAACTGATAATATATAGAAAGGGAATCTTGTGTCAATTGTTTTCTGGCTGTCTGTAGCTATGAAGTTTCATCTTCAAGTTCTATCTACCTCAGGCCATCTTGGCAGATACAAAGAGGGTTGGCAGGACAACATGTATGATTTCAGACTGTTGTGTTCCCACTGCTTCTCTCTTTGGGCCAATATCTGCCCCACAAGAAAAATAGAAGGAGGATAATTGGGAGTGAAAACTGAGAAAGGGCAGCTTTACCATTTGGAAGAATGATTCAGACATTGGATTGAAGGAAAAGACATCCGATTGTTAATTATTCAGTCTCGTTTTCCAAAATAATTGGGTTGGTTTTGGTATTGGTCATGGTGTGAAGCACCATTGCTCTTAGATCTCAGGCAGATAAATGTCTTGGGCTGGGGCTGGTAGGGCAAGATGGGACAGGAAAACTTGAAGGACATACTCAGACGCACAGGACATGAGATATGCATCTCTTATTATTGTTTTTAACTGTGGTCAACTCAACTTCAACTTCTGGAGCCCCCGGTGGCACAGTGGGTTAAACCCCTGTGCTGGCAGGACTGAAGGTTGCAGGTTCGAATCTGGGGAGAGGCGGATGAGCTCCCTCTATCAGCTCCAGCTCCTCATGCAGGGACATGAGAGAAGCCTCCCACAAGGATGATAAAACATCAAAATCATCCGGGTGTCCCCTGGGCAACGTCCTTGCAGACGGCCAATTCTCTCACACCAGAAGCGACTTGCAGTTTCTCAGGTCGCTCCTGACACGACAAAAACAAACAAACAAACAAACAAACTTCAACTTTAGGTAACTCTATGAACGAAAGATTTCTAGGTCATCCTGTCATCAATTCAAGTTTTGCAGACTCACAGATGTGACTTCCATGACTGAGTTTATCAATTTTCAGTATGGTCTTCTTTTCCTTCTGCTTTCTACCATGCCAAGGATTATTGTCTTTTCTAGTGAGTTATGTCTTCTGATAATATGTCCAAAATACTACAGCTTCAGTTAAATTATCTTGTATTGTTGAACTCACAACAACACAGTAAATTATCTTGGCTTCTATCAACAACTCAGGCCTGATTTGTTCTGGCACTTATTTATTTGTTCTTTTGGCATGCCAAGCTATCCACTCTTCTCCAGCACTACATCTTAAATGAGTTAAATCTTTTTCTATCAGCTTTCTTCTCTGTCCAGCTTTCACAGCCATGCATAGAAATCAGAAATATGATGACAGAATAATCCTGACTTTTGTTTTCAAAAGTGATATATCTTTATACGTGAGGGTCTTATCTAGTTTCTTCATAACTGTCCTGCCAAGTCCTAGTCTTCTTCTGATGCCTTGATTGCAGTCTGTATTATGACTGATGGCTGAGGCAAGGTATCAAAAATATTTGACTACCTCAATTTCTTTATTGCCTGCTTTAACATTATATAAACCATATGTGCTTGTTATTTTTGTTTTCTTTATATTCAACTGTAAATACATATTTTAACTTTCTTCCTTGGATTTTCAGTAATTATTTTCTGCTAGTAATATGCATTTCTTAAATTTTTGATGTTCTTACCTTCAGTTTACATACCTTTTCCCCCCAGAGTCTAACCCAATTTTGAAACATGCAGCATACAAGTTAATAAAAGGAGTGATAACATTTTGCAGTTTGGATTGACCCCTTTGCCAATTGAAAACCATTTTGCTCTCCATAGTCAATCCTAATATGGCCTCTTGTCCTTAGTATGAGTTATGCAGTAGGACAAATGTTGTGGCACATCCATTTCTTTAAAAGTGATACTGAATGCTCCAAAACCGTTGTTTCGGCTCCTTGCACTACCACGATTGTGGCAAAACAGCAGGCTGGGGATAATGAATCTTTAAGTCAAACTTTATCCACTACCTTATAAAGAATTATTGCAAAGATATGATTTGACAATAAAGCTGACAGCAAATCTGACTGCAATGTTTTGCTATGGTGGCTTCAGTAACTGACTAGGCTTTCTGACTGTTAAATGAAAGCACTTAAATCACAATGAAGTAGGCAGCCGTTAATGTTGTGAGCTGATTTCCATGTGGCAACTCTATTGGCTATGACAGCAGTGATATAACACCCTTTACAAATATGTGAAGATCTTCATCAATGCTGTGTTCCCTTGATTTGCCAGAATCACGCTCAGTAATGCATATGACATTTGCTGAAATTTTGGAATTCAACAGATGCTGTTTTCAAAGCTCATCCTATTACTGCCAGACGGACAGGAGCACGTGGTTGAAATCCTCATTTCGCTTGGCGACAGGGCTTAATCCAAGCTAAACTGTTCACTTCCAGAAGTTTTGTATAGCAGGACTCTGGAAATACAGTATCATAGAGAGAGAGAGAGAGAGAGAGAGAGAGAGAGAGAGGGAGCCTTGTGGTATGTGCAGAGTATATTTTATAGATTGGTGTGATAAATCTTGCACTAATAAGAAGGATTTCTAATGCAGAAGTTGGATTGAATACAGCACCTTTCATTTTAGAAAGTATAGAGGGTTGACTCTGTTAACCGAACTAATTTACCGAGTTGCTTTTAAGCCGCACATTTTCACCATTTCTCATATCAATGTGAGGTATTATCCCATATAAACCTCCTGCCAGATGGCTTTGCAAAATAACCCAATTCTAATGCTTTCAGAGATGGAGAGTGGTTCGTTTCTCTTTGATCATTCTATTTGCATAGTTTGTTATTGTAAAGATCTCTTTCATGTGTGCCCATCTTACTTGCCTTGGATGCCAATCCACCCCAAATACTCATCCCTCCCTCCTTCTAAAAGAAAAGAGATCTATTTCACTAAAAGAAGTGTTCACTTTCTTGATGTCTAGACTTTCTTACATGTACTCTGCTTTTATCCCAGATGTGACGTAAACCACAACAGTCTCTGTTTCTCATGTTTCCATTAGAAGCACCTTTGCGAGGTGGCCAGCTGTTGGCAAGCCCAACAGAGGGAACAGTCTTATGTTGTAGCTGGAGCTTGCGCAGTACTTATCATGGAGAAGAGGTGGATGCATGTTGCTGAAAAAGGGACCCTATTTATCTGCCCCTCCTCCCCATGCAGTGAAGAGACACGGACGCAGGATGTCACTGTGTCACAGCTACCACATGAAGTATTATGGGTCAAGGCAGAGTACCATGGGAAAGAGGTAAAAGGCCACCAAAGCCCCCAGAAACAGGAGCCCAAAGTCTTGCTGAGGGTTTGATATCCTGGCAGATGCCACCGACCAGTAATGAATGCTGTCGGACAGAACAGTTTGCCTGGTGTGCTCACTCTTTCATCTGTCCTAGAGAGATAGATGACACCCACCCTTGTGCTCCTCTGCTTCAGCTCTGTAGGGTGTGTGGCACAGGAGAAGGGGTGGAGCGTCACGCTTCAACCAGTAATGCCTGGCAGATACCCCAGCTGCACTCCACACGGACTCACTAGACAGCCAGCAGAAGCAGGAAGGAGTGATTGGGCACCTTAGAAGTCCATCAGCACAACAGGAGGTGGGTAAGTACCTGGTGTAGTTGCTGCGCTTGCCGCAGCAATGAAGATCAGGAATTCGGTAGTGTCAGTTCTGTTGTTTGAACACCATAGCGCTCTCCCTAAATAATTCTTAGAGGTGAGTTTAGATTAGACAACTATACGTTTATTGCAGCCTCAAGGTACAGCATATCAGTATAGGCTGCTAAAGTTAGTAGATATGGGAACGATTACAGGTGTCAATGACAGAACTCTATGCTATAAATACTGTCTATGCTGAACGTTTGGCAGATTTTGGACATTCTACAAACCTTATCTGATTGTTTTCCAGGCATTTGATATCTGATATACTACAGTGGCAAAAATGTGCAGGTGTGGAGGAATGGCGGCATTCCAGCAAGACAGATATACCACTCTTTCTTTCACTTCACACTGGTTCTGTTCATTGTTTTGTGACTGAGTTGTTTATTTTCCCTCTTGCACCACACACAATTGGTTGACAGTCACTGCAATAATAAAAAGGGTAGTGCTATGATGTCATATCATGCATTATTTTATAGTACATATCATAGAATCATAGAATGGGAAGAGACCACAAGGGCCATCCAACTCAACTGCGTTTTACCATGCAGGATTCCATAATCAAAGAACACCTAACAGATGGCCATCCAGCCTCTGTTTAAAAACTTCCAGAGGAGAAGACTCCGCCACATTCTGAGGCAGCATATGCCACTGTTGAATAGTTTTTAATGTCAGGAAATTCTTCTTTGAATAGGTTGAAGCTCTTTTCTTCTAACATGAAGAATTGCTCCATGTCCTAGTCTCTAAAGCAGCAGAAAACAAGTTTACTCCATCATCCATATGACATCCTTTCAAATATTTAAATATGGCTATCATGTCACCTCTTAAACTTTTATTCTCCAGGCTAAACATACCCAGCTCCCTAAGCTGCTCTTCATGGGGTATGACTTACATAGCTTTTACCATTTCACTCATAAATCCACTGGAGATGTCGATCAGTCTTTCTTGGACTGTCCCACTTTAAATTTATTGGAGAAACTACCCATCTGGACCTCAGGTAGTTTTCCCCTCAAAAAAGTGGGTTGATTTGAAGCTGTCTGATATAGTGCCCAGAGTGAGTGATATAGTGATGCATGCTTACTAATAAACGTGAATGCATTTTTTTTCTGCAACTGGTAAATTCAACTTTACTCTAGGTTTATACTTCAAATAGTAATCGTTTTACTCATGCAGCAAATTTAATGGGAGTTCTGACTGGCTGCTTCATTCTACAGAACTCCAGACCCCATGAAATTTGACAAAGTGAGGTCCAAGTATTAACACAGTAGAGTCTTGCTTATCCAACCTTTGCCAATCCAACGTTCTGTATTATCCAACGCAGTCTGCCTCCTGCCCGGATCTTCAGCTGTTTCAATACATTGCGATGTTTTGGCGCTAAATTCGTAAATACAGTAATTAATACATAACCTTACTGTGCATTGAACTGCTTTTTCTGTTGCTTTATTGTAAAACATGATGTTTTGGTGCTTAATTTGTAAAATCATAACATAATTTAACATTTAATAGGCCTTTCCTTAATCACTTCTTCTTATCCAACATTTTCACTTATTCAACATTCTGCTGGTCCGTTTATGTTGGCTAAGCGAGAATTTACCGTATTATCAAATAGCAGAAGACAAATGGGATCTTTCTGAGTGACTCAATCAAAGCATGTTTCCATGGGAGCAGAAAGTTTATAGCACTGATCTTGATATGGAGGACTAATAATTTTTTCCTAATGTGTCAGTTTACTAGTACCCTACCTGCAAGCATTGACTACAACTGTTTCTTTCTTTGCTGGAAAATACTGAGGAGCACAAGTTTAATTATTACCACTAGATCCAGTAGCAATCACACTACATAGAAATCATATAAGAGGGTGGGACATGAGGAGTCAGGAAAGGTAAAATTAAATTGAACACTAGATCTATTGAGGGTTTCTTCCAATGCTTAAGAGCTTTCTCCTCGTTTTAATTTTTTGGCAATAAAGAATTTATCACAAGGCTGGCAAATCACAATTACAGCAGTATCTTTTTGACTGGGACTCATCACTTGATGTCACTCCTCTCTTGCTGTTCTCCAGAGGCGAAAGTTGGAAAGCGTTTATTTACAAACAGAAACAATTCATTAAGGACCTCCTTTTGTAAAAGAAACACCTTCCAGTGGTCTCCTGTTCACAGAGAACAACAGAAGAGGACAACTCTATGTGAGAAGTCCCACTGTTATCCTGCTATAATTGTAATTTGCCTGCCTCATGTGATAAACTCAAGTCTTGTAAATAATTCAGTGACAATAAATTATCCCAACAGTGCTTAAATCTCATACCCGGCAAACATGCGGAGTTCAATTACTGCAGCTAAACTCGTTTGCAATATGAGCTATTCATGCAATTTCCTTCCCGACATAGATTATCATTATGGCAATCACACGGGGGAGGGATTTAAATGGTATGTTTGCCACACATTTGAGTCTGAGAAAAATGAGCTAACTATGTAGTAGTAAATAAGATGTCAATGCTGTAGGATGTCTTCAGTAGAGTATCTGAAAGCCATGATACAGAGAAAAGGAAAGCTTTTGCTTGTTAACCATGACCCCATGTAACCTAAGGTCTTGTTCCTTGTCAAGAAAGTTCTGGGAATTCTTGTTAAAAGGGGGTCATTTTCATTAGCAAAGAGAATTTGAACTCTTTCCGTGCCTTACTTTTCACTCACAGCTGGGAATCCCTTAGTGCCCTTTTCCTCCTCTAGTGTCAACAACGAAATGATCTTTCCATGCTCATTGATCTCTGGAGTGTCTTTATCAATTCAGTTGTCTGCTTACTAAAAATTCTGATGGTTCAAGTAAGTTCATATAATTTATTTGTTTGAAGCAAAATGGAAACAATTTGAATGCCCTTCCCGCAATCCCACACAGAAGTTATTTCTGTTGACATACAAACTAATTACTTTTCATTGTGATTGTGTGCCTTTGTGTCATTTTTGACTTATGACAACTTTAAGGCAATGCTGTCAGAGGGAATTGGCTCTTCCCTTACTCTAAGATGAAGAGAGTATGACTTGCCCAAGGTTGCCCAAGAGGTTTCCATGGCTGAGTAGGGATTGTATACAGTCTTAGTCCAATGCTCAGATGATTGCACTATGAAGGCTCCCAGAGAACAGTCACCCGGAAGCACTATTTTCACTTTTAGAATAATAATAGGACACCCATCCCCAAAATTTGCTTCAGATGAAGACCAATTTGTAGTCATGTGGGAGCTAAGTAGGGTTGCCTGAGTGAAAACTGGAGAAGGTGCCCATCCATTGAAAGGTTGTGCAGAAGTAGGAATTGTAGTAGTTGCTGCTCACCAGACAACCAAATAACCAGCCATGTTTGGTGAAATTGATGAAAGAAACAGGAACCCTCTCAAGTTTTCATTCTGGCAACCCTGGCACAAATCAGGAATGAACATAATTCATAAAGATACAGGAGTCATCTCTACTTTTCAATTTGGCAACCATAGGTGTGTTTTTTGTTTCTAGATGCTGTTGAACTTGTACAAAAATGTAAATTCAATCAGTGAAAGAGGGAAGCAGGGAGGCTTTTTCTGTCTCTGTGCTTTATTTTTTTCTGCAATGGGAATAATGTCCCAACCCATTCCTCCACTTTAATTAAATAAACAAATGATTTTTTTTCTTCTCTGAGTGGGAAAAAAAGAGAAAGAAAAGGTGATTAGATTAGAAAATAGTGAGCAAGAGAGAGGAAGAAAAATCAGCTTCTGCTTCTGCTAAGAACTCTTAGCAATTATTTAAAAAGTGTGTTAATAATTTACAAACTGAAAACAATAATCGAACTAAATGATTATTAAAAAGGGAACATTTGTAATAACCAAGTTAGCTCTGAATTGGTGTTGCATTACTACATCAAAAGGGTGGGGGGGGGGGGATTCCTTTAATCTTTTTACTCTTCAGCCACAACCTCTGTTTTGAACTTTGGAGAGAAGGAAAAAGTGGCACACATTTTTGAAAACCCCCCCTTTTGTCCTCCAAAACTCTTTGCTTTTCTTCTTCCTTTACAATCTCATCTCTTTTCTCTCCCATGCTCTTTAATGTTCAATTTTTATGTGAAGCCATGTTTAATTTTGTGTTTAAGAGCTTGAAAAATGCAATTTCCTGGAGAGAAGCAGAGTTTCCATGACCCGTAATGTCCAATGTTGTGCTTAGCACAGATTTCAGAAAGATCCTATGAATGTAAAGAACCCCTTTCCCAAAATGCCTTCATTACTTGTGAACTAAGGCTAATAATTCCTAAATCCTGTTGGATGATGATAACAAAAAAGCCACACAAATCCTTTTGCAAAACATCAAGAAAATTAGGCGTTGGGTAAAGAACTAACTGTATAATGTAATGGATCATTTAAACTAAATAATGTTTTCTTTGGCACAATGTCTCATTTCATTCATTAATAATTGAATAATTCTGGAGAAATATTAGCACTGAAATTCTAAATTTCAGCAATTGTATTTATTTTTTAAAAGGTTTGCCCTATTTGTTTGCAACTTTCAATTTAATTCTGATGTCAATTTTATTTTATCAGTTCCTTCCCATCACTATTAGTAGCATTATTGGCAGCACTGCTACAGCCAGGAAGAGAAGATTTATCATGGGTTTGCCATTGTATATCATAATGATTTGGATAATTTTTTAATTAAAAGGATTTTCATTTCAGGGGCATAAGAAAAGAAAAAGATTTGCATTTGGCATTCCTTCACTTCTCCTCTTTAGAGGACCTCTATATTGTAGAATTAATGCAGTTTGACACCACATTAACAGCCATGGTTCATGTTATGGAATCATGAGATTTGTAGTTTGGTGAGGCACCAGAACTCTTTGGCAAGAAGGCTAATGGCTTTGTAAGACTAGAACTCCCTAGATTGTATAACACTGAGGTATGGCAGTTAATATGGTATCAGATAGCATTACTTTTACAG